ATTATGTCAACAAACAAATAAACTCTGCCCTGAATGGTCACTCTTTGATGTCATTATCTGACATTCCTGCAATTTGATTGGTACCGACAAAACATTGTCAGGGGAAGTGTAAAACTACATCTTTCTGTCAGGCGTTTGTTGGGTTTGGAGCACCGCGGAGGGTGCAACAGATGTGACCTTATCAGGCTACTTGAATACTAATTGTAAACAAACACATATATCAAGCTTTTTTACACGTAAAAAGAATTGTAATATAACACAAATTCAGAAAGGTTTTCTTGTTAAAGCAAGAGGTTTTAGTTTAGGCTGAATAAATCAAACTTCATCATTGTCATATAAGAAATGATTTGAACTAAATCTTAGAATTTATTAAGTTCCACAATAATGTATTGTAAGTTTTAACAAGAGTAAAAGAGCTACTAGATAAGAAGATATGCTGCACATCAAAAGTTGATGCTGTATCAACTTACCCATATCGTCTATAGTTGCTATTAGATACATCTGGACAGACATTAAGCAAACATTCATACTGGTTATTTCAACATTGTCATCTTGCCAGTGTGCTACTTTACTCTGACTTGCTGCATCTATAACGGCTAGGCCATTAGGTAGGCCAATAAATATGTAGCGACCATCTATGCTGTCAGCTAGGCAAGTTGCTTTACCAAAATCCTGACAAAATAATAGCAATATAAAGAAAAACTTGTATTAGATTAGAGCAATATTAGACAAGCCACCAACCCATGATCGATGAAAACACTTACGTATATGACATACATGTATATCGGTAATTATATGTTCAGTTGAAAGAGGGGGTGGTTTGAGTAGTGCAAGAGCCATACCATCAATACGAGTTAAAGATACTACCCTCAAGTAAGAAAACATTTGAAAACAGCAATCTTTGAGAACAAGTGTTTATATATAGTAGACCATATATTGCAATTCCAAATCATAGTGAATTGAGGGATAGTTTTGACCATACTGAACACAACTAAGCCAATCACCAAGCATGTCTGCTTGTGCAATCTAATATATCTATTCCACAATGCATTAAAATCTAGAATTGTGATGGTCTGTGCAATTAATACTTTAACAGACTGCATGATCACAATAGGTGATTTACCATTCACAGCGAGATCTTGCGTAATTCATGAAGGGTGTGAATAGAATCTCTGCTGCAAAAATCAGATGATTTGATTTTGAACCTGAATTTTTTTTTAAGTTCAATGTCAAAATACTGATAATATTATTCAACAATTATTCAAATATTACCAATTTCACTACCCCTAAAACTGCCTGTGGCTAGCTAGTGATCATGGAAGTTAATACCAACCTGCATTTGCACTGCACATTCATATTGTGGTGGCCGAATGCGGGATTTTTCTGCAACTCGTGCGGCTTCCCTATCACTGAGTATTTCCCAAACATCATCAGTAAGTCGACTGAGAATTTTGTCAACAAGCCGAAATGGTTGAGGGAGTTGATCGTGTAACTGTTCTGGGTCCGTCAGAAAATCGTCATCATCGCTCAACAGTTCACTTAACGATGGTGGTGTTATGGACAACAAATTCTTCCTGACGTATACCGGCATCTCGACTAAAGATATGCACGTTAAGATTGAAAGAATCGAGGTTTTGTTAAAATGAGTAAAACAAGTGATGATAACATAACACAAGCGTCAATCTGCTGTTAGGTCGCCATTTTTAGTCTAGCAACGGAGCTCAGAACGAGGCCATGTGAACTTTCACCTTTAAGACTCCATGACCATTAAAAATTGGTTCACGTTCATAATTATTTAGTTCAAAATTCAATTTAGCCAAAATTAAGCAATATTTACACTTATGCACAGCATTCATTTTTCATAATCATAGCTTAAAAAAAAAAGAACCGAGTGAGCCAAGGTGAGAAAGTGTAATCACCTTTGACCTAATAATGCGTGATCACCTGATAAGGATAGAAATTCATTTTGATCGCATGACTCCTGCAAGGGCTCGCGTGTTTTTTTTAAACCGGTGTTGTGTCAGGCCTGGTTAGGTAAACATGTGGTAATTGTTTCAAACGATCTAGCGTCATTCATTGATACTAAATTCTTATAATGGACCTTGTTTCGCAAATTATCAAGTTTAATTCACAGACGTCTGGTAGAGACAAACTTTGCAGGTATGTACGTACTTAAACTTAGAGTTTGTATAATGCGGTGGTTGGCACCGAAGTTGATATAGTCCACATTATGATCGCACATTTAAACAACTTATTTTTTCGTATTTACCGATACATTCCTGACCATGGCGGAAAGAACAGACCCCCTCCTATACATGAACTATTAAACAACGACCGATAAAACATTTTTGAAGTGCCACGCCCAGCTTCTTAAAGTAAAAGTTTTCTTGTTAAATATCATCATTTCTGTTACAATTTTACAGGTTTTTCCAGTATGGTAGTAAGTGTTCATGGTGGTATTTACAGAAACTATCAACAGATAAAACGTTTACAGAAAAAGCCAAGAAATTAGAAAACACACTTAGTGCAACCAGAAAATGTGAGTACCGGTAATGAGTACAGTTATACTATATATATATATATATATATATATATATATATGCAATCATTGTAACCAACTAGAAGATATAAAAGCACGCCTTTCCCCCGGAATACAAAATATAGAAAAACATTCAAATTAAGATTTTGATGTGTCAGAAAGCAAAGACAAAATCTAAATACATGGTAATCATTCTTAAAAGTTGTGTGATTCACAAAAACATATTTTATTGTTTTGTTTTATATCTCTATAACGTTTTCTGCTCAAATACAAAAGTCAGTATTCTTCTCTTTATCTTATCTTTATATTATTAGTAACCATGGTCTAGACATGGTTAGGCAGTATTATGTACAGATTTATAACACTGCTGATACAAAGTGATTTTACTCTGTTCATTTCTCCACCAAAATCTACCTTTCTTTTCTAATCTGTATATTTATCAATAATGATCTTTGAAAATAACACCTGTAATTACAAGCCTTATGTTTACTACTGAAGCATTTGTGAATTACTATACTCATAATACAACATAGAAAGGTTAGAATCCTTGACCCACATAAACCTACATTGAGCTGTGTAGACTGAAATGTTATCTACCAGTTGTAATCTACTCACCCAGAACTGGCTGGAACCAGAGTTTTGACCTAAACCATAATTGATAAGGTGATTGAAAAATTATATGAACTCAGTTTCAGTTGATTAAATTCATGCTCTATGGAGGTACAAAAAAAAAGATTTTTTTACCTGCATGAAGTTAATGTTTATTTTGGGTACAGACTGTGGTTTGCTCTGCTACTGATAAGCTACAGCTTGCCAAATCATTTTTATTCAACCTGATATCACAATGTCAGCATCAATGCTAGCATTCAAAGCAAGAAAGACTTTGTATCCACCAGTAAGTCTCTCTGACCATAAAACAAATCACTAACTTAAATGTTTGGTCTTATTTTACAGTACTAAGATTTGGCAAAAGTTTTGAGATGGTTCAAGAGGCCTTGACAACTATCCATTTGAATGATGTATTTCTCCGTGTTACCATAACGATTGCCAAACTCAACACAGCTGTCTATCTTCTTATTGACCATATCCTGTGGGCAGAAAAAGTGGGACTGTTGGTGCTATTAAACAAGAAATACTACAGGGAACTCTCAGCTCAATTTTGGCTGGTCACTCTTATCCTCAACTTGTCTCGTGATTTATATGAAATTTTAGAATCACTGAAAAAAGCATCAGGATATAACAAGAGCAAAACAGATAATAAGTCATGTATGCCAAATGGAATGGTTGCTAATGGCGACATGTTACAGTTACAGCTACTCCACAAGTGTCTTATAAATAACCCACCGCTTGCTTTGGATACTATGAAAAATGCTGCCGATATTTTGCTTCCACTCTCAATTCTCGGTTTCATCAGAATATCTCCAGGACAGCAAGGAATTCTGGGAATTATATCATCATTTATTGGAATCATGACTGTTTGGAATAGTGCCTTGAGACTAAGGCCTTAAAATCTGCCAACAATTTAGAATACAATTGGTTTTTTTGATAAGTTTGTCAGGATAATAGCAAATTCTAGACATTTTAACCAAAATGTGAAACAGCAAGGGTCAATTTTTTTTATTCGTAGATAATCAGATTACCAGTACATAAATATATGATTCATCAACTGATTTGCATACCAAATATATCGGCGGCAATTCTGACCCCTATGCAAATACTATAATTCGAAGTATTAAATTCTAAAAATATCTGTGCAATTTTTAACTCATTTCAAGCATTATTATTCAGATTTTATAATTTGATTGATTACTGTTTTGTGTATAATGTGTAAAAGGTTTGTCATGACTGTAAAACCATTGAATGTGTATAAAACTATACTTAAATATTAAACACTGAGAAGGGGGGTTAAAAGTCCTACATTTCCTCTGTAAAAATTAAAAAAATTGTTTTTATATTTATAGACATCAAAAAGTACATTGTAAGATACTATAAATCTTTTTTCATGATGACATTGAGTAAAATTTTGAAATATATCCTTACCATAGTAAACAATGCTACAAAAAATCCAATTTTCACTGTATTTTATTGATCAATTTTCTCCAAACTGAGATCACTGACCCCATTTTTTAATTAATTTTTTCATCCTTGTAACATATCAAATATTTAAAAATAAAGAAAATTACAATATTTTTTATTTTTGCATAGTGGTCTACCTTGATAGAAAACCATGAATAAAAAATGCTTCTTCAAACATTCATACACTGTTTCTGATTACCAGTAGTCCCCATTTTGGATGAAATAGAGAACTTAATTTGGATTCTCTTCGGAGCCATTTCTCAGAAAAGCATTGACCTATCACATCACAGACCATATACGACTTGCACATGCATGTCGATTTTCATTACCATAAGATCAAATTTGGCTGATTTGGTTCTGAAAAAAATGTCCTAATCAATGAATGCATGCACACATTCACAGTACACATTTTTAGTCTTCGTTCGGACGAAGTCCGAAAACGGGGACTTATAATTCGGTCTCCGTCCATGTGTCTGTGCGTCCGTCCGGAGTCATATCTCAGAATCCCCTGGACCGATTCTGTTCATTCTTTGCATGTGCCTAGTACTTTATGTGGGACATATGCACGTGCAGTGGTTTAGCGATTCGATTCGAAATAGCCGACTGGCAGCCATTTTGTTTTTTGAAAATGTTGTATTTTGGAAATGCTTTGTCAGTTTTCATTCAAACTTGGTACATAGATTATACATGTTAGGATACATGTCCATGATGATTTATTTCACAATTGGATCAATGATGGCCGACTGGCAGCCATCTTGTTTTTTGAAAATGTCGTATTTTTGACATGCTTTGTCAGTTTTCATTCAAATTTAGTACATAGATCATACATGTTAGGATACATGTCCCCGACCGTCCGTGAGTTCCTGAGTCTGTCCGTCCGTCCGTCCCTGCATCAGTCTGTCCAGAGTCATATTTCAGAATCCTGTGGACCGATTCAGTTCATTCTTTGCATGTGCCTAGTACCTTATGTGGGACATATGCACATGCAGTGTTTTAGCGATTCGATTCAAAATGGTCGACTGGCAGCCATCTTGTTTTTTGAAAATGTTGTATTTTGAACATGCTTTGTCAGTTTTTTATTCAAACTTGGTACATAGATTATACATGTTAGGATACATGTCCATGACGATTTATTTCACAATTGGATCAAAGATGGTCGAATGGCAGGCATCTTGTTTTTTTATGCGGTATCTTGGACGTGCTCTGTCAGTTTTCATTCAAATTTGGCACATACATGTACTTTATACATGTTAGGATGCATGTCCATGACAATTTGTTTCAAAATCTGACTTTTTGGCCTTACTACTATATTTCCACAATTTATGTACCATTTTCATTCGTATTTGGCACATACATCATACATATCAGTGTGTTTCATAATCAAATCAAAGATGGCCGAATAAAAGCAGTTTTTATTTTTGACCATATTACTACCACACGGAACACATGTTTTGATGTAAATAAACAATCTGTTGTATACGCCACTTGGAACTCAAGTTTCAAGGACATGCTCGCGACAACCCATCCACTTTAATATGACGAGCACAAAGAGAACTTTCGAAAATTTAACGGGGACTGTGTCATTTTCAGTGACTTGTCATTTCTGTTTCTAACTCTTAATTATTTTGCATCATGAATTATTTTGATTCAAATTCAACTCTAGTTTTGTGTTTTGTTCATACATACATCCAGTATTTCTTAAGTCCTTAGTTATTATCTGAACCAAGTCACCATAATACAAGTTCACAACTTCCAGGTCACTTATTTAATGCCAGTTCTATTTAAAATGTTTTGGTTGTACATGCTATATAAAGAAAAGTTCACAAAAAAAAGCTGTAACTATTGATCTTTTTTTCTCAGATTTTTATTTTTAAAAAAATTTTCTGTGTGAATTTGTAAAATGTGGACACTAAAGCATATCATATATACATTATATACTGACGCTCAACATTAAATCATTTGCAAGTGAAAAAAGATGACCACAGAGTTACATCTGGTTCTCCAGAGGGCATCATCTATTGAAATCTGATTTGTCAAGCAAACTTTGGGGATCACAGTACAAGATGACAATTTACCAAGGCCCTAGATGAATGGGTCAAATACATTGCCATCATGAGTCAAGTCAAGCCAAGTCTCTCACTGAAGAATATATGTACCAGTACCATTTCCCACAATAGTGTATCATGCATCAAAATTTTCCATGGTTCCCATCACATGATCTAATTCAACAAAATAACGACTACTCAGTCTTTAGTTTTCACATCACATTTCACGCGACATTAGCATCGTCACATTATGTGCATTCACTTGCCCATACATTGTGTCTTAAACAATATTTCGGTAAGATTTCAACATCTTTATGTGGTTATATTTAAACAAAAAACTAAGTTATAGTGCAAATATTTGGTGGTTTTTCTGCAGTCCCATCATGGGTTGTGTAGTGACAGTATGTATGTAATGTAATTCGTTTTGTATCAAAGAACATGGGCTATGACCTGTAGAAATCGCACGTGATTAACGCATTTGTCATAGTAAACTACATGTTTCATTAAACCACAGTTTGTACATCTGAAAATTGATGATACTGCATAAAAATATTTCCTATTTTTAGATAGTGAGTGCGGGGAAAGGTTGTACTCTTCACTTGGATCATGCGAGAACAACTTTGTTCGCTTACTAGTAAATTGAGTTTTCAACAAAGAAACAGTTCTTTCCTATTGTTGAGAACAGTTACTGTTTACTAGTTTCTTTGTTCTCAACAATTAACTAGGAGAGGAGTTTTTCAGAACTAGGTTGTTCCCAGATGACTCATGTGAAGTATACAATGTTCCCCTTACTATTTAAAAATCGTACATTTTTTTAAGCAGCAACAACCTGCATTCAAACCAGCACTTTTCAGATTGACAAGCTGTGTGAATGCATACCGTAGTTATTCTACTTAATGAGCTAAGCTAAGTTTGTGGTTGAAATCAACATGTAGTTTACTATATGTACATCAATGTCTACAAGCCCTCAGTTCTATACAAAAAGAGTCATGTTCCAAAACAAATTCACAGTATTACTTCGATAAAGTACGGCAACTTGGGCGCTGACTGTAGTTAAAGGCCTGTTTGGGGTCTCAGTTCCAGTTACTAAAACCTCAACCATAAACAGCCTGTTAACTTCCGTAAGTATCCTTGTAGCTGTACTTCAACTATCAGTAAGCACTACAGTTATGGTAAACATCTTATAAACGCACTAACAATTGTGGAGTTTACAACCGTAAACAGTAGTTTAATCAATGGTTATCCACAGCTTTCAATACATTAAATACAAGCCATCTACGAGAACAGGCAAATAGGGGTTGTATTGCAAAGCACCATCAGTGGCAACAAGTTGAATTACTTTGTTTTTACCATTATTATTTTGCTGCTGATTTTAGTATTTAAAAAAAAAAAAAAAAGATTTCGTCTTTCCTTGAATTCTATCATTTTTTTGATCCTGTGAACTATTTTGATGATATTGATTGACAAGCAGACTATTATGGATTTGTTCAAGTTAAAACCCAAAAGTTTTCTGGAAAAATCAATCCAGTAAATTCAGACAAATCAGCACCCTTGAAGTTTATCCTTTCATGATTACAAATTTGTGGTCAGCAATGTACACGGGTTGTCTACTGGACGATTTAATACATGTTTCAAAACAGAGGTTCCATGTTGTGGAAATTGATAACAATACACTATGGCAGTGAAAGGTAATTAGAATAAATCTGTAACACAAGAATTAATGTATATGGATCAAGGATTCATAAGATGAGATTAAATCAGGTGTGATATGCAAGAAGAGATCTAGTGACATAAAATTAATCACAAACTTGCCAAACAAACGTACATTTCTAGAATCATTATCCGATTTGCTCTATTAGCAGTACATAACATGTGTCTATGGTCAAAATAAATCAAACTTGAATACACAGTATACTGTATAAGCAATTGTAAGCTTACATGCACTACTATGGGCAAGTGCTTCTAATAGAGCAAATATGATAATTCAAATGAGTGAGTTTGGGAAAGAAAACGTTTCATCTCAAGCTGTTGTTTCTAGTGTTTATGTGTATTCATTATGTGTCACATTTTGCGATCCTGACAATAGCATTTTTCAACTCTGTTTTTACTCGATTGATCTTTTCAAATGTCCATTGTGTTGCAATGCAATTGATGAACACAAGACACAAGTTTGATTGACGAGCACATTGAATTCATCAGAATGGAATCGTCATCCCATATAGAGCACGTACATACATGTGTTATCAAAATATCATCTTCTTGATGATAATTTATTTTTACCTGGAATGTATTTTACTATTTGTGTTGAAATTAACTTGAAATCAAATCATTGGTAAAATTCATTGTTTTCTATGTTCTGCCTGTAACAGATTAGTAAAAATGCACAAGATAATTTTTTCAGTGAAATTTTGTTGGGGAATAATAAGGCTTTGAAAGGGTTAAACTAAACCTTACTACTTTGGCATTAAATATTGTGAAACACTTAATTTTCACTGCTAGAAATTTTCTGGATTTGATGATTTTATGGCATATGGAAGAAAAAATTTCACCAAAATTGCTGACACTCCATGTTGTAGGACCCCAACAATTTTTATGATTTTCAATGATCCTTGAAATTCATAATTCATCTCTCATGAAATTAAAGCCATTACAATGTAACAGTTGCTAACTACATGACATATAAAACTATAGCTATCTAAACATTTTAGTCTAAGGAGCATGCTATCAGACATCCAGGGTTTATTTTCCTGTCCACTAAATTTTACATCCACAAAATTGAATCCTCACAAACTCCTACCCTGAGATTTTGAAAAGTCCATTCCTATATAGCAATCCAAAGTTTCACAAATAGTGTTTTCTGAAACCATCCTTTGTTATAAAGTATAGTAGTATTTAAAAGTATAATACTTCATAAAAAGTCATTCTATCGTTACCGGTATATAAATAAAACTTCCATGAAGAGTTCAAGCTTCATCAATGCCATACCACTC